AAATCATAAAGAAGTCAGGTGATTTCAGGAATAATTAGAAATCATCGATGAAAGTGAAACCCAAACCCCTTTTTATTCAAGCTCACGCATACGATCCCGTCTGACCCTCATGACCTTCTTATGCACATGTCAGTTGATTCTTACTATCACATCCATAAGGCCCTTCTAAACTCTTTGGTTCCCCGAATCTTATCCACACGCGATTATCGACAGAGGTGTTCTACTTTAGCCCCGAAATAATGTCTTGAAATCAAGAAATCATCAGAATCTACTAGAAACCATGTAAATCACGAAAAATCAAAAGAATTCATGATTTCTAATTCTTATTGAGAAATCACAAAAATCATTCTAAAAACCACTGGAAATCATCCCATTCTGGAAATTACTAAGTCACCCGATTGCGGAGTGACCAGCCCTTCGGAAAAAAATAAAGGTTCCATGGAGAAAAAATTGTCTGATTTGATTAACAAAATGTCCACTTTACCTCATTCGTCCTCCATGTTCACATGAACTATAGATCACACTCGATTAACTGAATCCTTACTTGACGTTCCGCAAACTCATGATGTTTATACAAATTTATACAAACGAAACAAATTTGACTTGGCGATTAAACTAGCTAACAGGATTTGTAAATACATAATAATAATAGACGGAAATTATTTATCATCTTTGGAACCGTTATCGTGCAAGTGCACTCGATTTTTTATGACGAAGAATGTAAAGAGTTATTACGCAATAGACATTCTGGATAAAAACATTTTTACGTTATCACTTGGGAACTTGAATAAGAAACGTAAGTTACCAGAGGGTATCTTCTAGTGACAATTTATAAATAGCGATTGCATTGAACTGTTTGGGAAAATCTGTTCTTCATTGTGAATTCTATGAAAAATAATATGATTAAAATGACTTTCAACTGTTTGTTCGTACAAAATTTTAAATGTTTTAGACCATTATCTGGGGTTTGCAAACATTACAGAAACAAAATAATAAACAATAAAACTCCACGAAATATGAAGTCACTGCTCGTTTGGCATGTCCACGAGGCATTCCTCCTCACGTGCTTGAATTTATTTGTGAAGAAAATATGAAAACAGAATACTAAACAAGCAGGGGTTCGAACCTATCCGACAGAAGTCATGTGACCGTTACTTTTTACGTCATTAGTCTCTTTCTTTTTTTATTTTACCAATTCCATTGATAGTAAGTTTCTAAATGGTTCCGCAGTAATTCCTTATCCTTGTGACAGGCATACAACTGGTAAGCACATGCTACCGAGTGTCTGCAGGAAAATATTCAACCTTTAATGAAAACGATTTACACAAAAGGTTATATACCTCCGAAACGGCTCGGCCGGTTGCGCCTATCCCAAATACCAACCTTCAGGATTATAAGCTATAATCATACCAAATTTCAACTTGCTATCCCCATTTTTTCTCAAGTTATGGTGCGTACAAGGATGAAAAAAAAAAAAAAAAAATAACGGGGATGTCTCGGAAAGTTTGCATGAACGGATATATATATTTTGATTGATCCTGATAGTGGCTCCTGAAACGAGTATTTTGAAAAAAAAAATTGAAATCCGTCAAGGAGTTCATGAGATATTTGAAGAAATATATTTACATAAAAGGTTGCATATGTCATGAACCGCTCGACCAATTGCGCCCATCCAAAATACCAACTTTTAGTATTATAAGAGCGACAACCATAGCAAATTGCAACTTGCTATCTCCTTTTTTCTCATGTTATCGTGCGTACAAGATTTTTCATGAAAAACGGAAAAACGAAATTTAACTAAGTTGTTATATCTCAGGAACTACTGGACCGATCGGGCTGAGACAGCGCGCCAAAATTGAGCTCAATAATAGCTACAATGAGCCAAAATTTCAGATTTTTATCTACAAATTTCACCGTATTTATATTGAATTTTCTCAAAATTAATCACCAAAAACCCAAGTTGTGGGATACATACATACAGACATGACCCTACAAACATCATTTCTTCACGTTTCATAACATTCTAGACCATTTGCAATCAAAATTAGAAAATCGCAAAATCGGTCAAAAATAAGGCTTCCATGCGGAAGCCAAAGGATAGCATAAACGAACTATTGTTGTACAATTTGAATCAATATCAATGTGAGATTTAAGAACGAATGCCGTAAATTTTCATCGATTTATTAAAAAAAATACACCTAAGTGCACGACTATATGCCTCCGAAGAAGAATACCGTGTGCCTTTTAAACGTTGTGCAGTCACTTCATATTCAGAAGTTTATTATTTAATTCTTATAATATTGGGAAGTGACTGAAAGCGATGGCCGCAGTCAACATTTAGAAAAATATGTATGACTATGGAGATTGTCATGCGTATGCTACTAAAGTTATTCAATATGCGCAATCTTTACAATATAATACATGTCTCAATAATAATTTTCAAATTTCTTAGTCGATCTCACACCCTTTTACTAAGAATATTCTCATCCTTGAATAAATATTGATAATCTCATCCGTACAACGTTCTAGCTTGGTTATAAACATTAGGAAAACAATATGAAATCATAACGAATCAGCTTTGGCAACTGAAGAACCTTTGAAACGTCATTCCATGCCCAATTGATGCAAATTCACCCACGTACAACTCTATTTCATATCAAAGACAATTTGTTTCAGAGCCACTTAACGTGGCATACTCCAAAATAAACTCCTCTTGATATTATCGTTATTATTGCGGTTGGCGAGAAAATTTTCCTCATCATATGAACATTTCATTAGTCCGGAAATGTTGAATTCGATGAAAATTTTGATATCACATTTAATAAATAATTTGAAAAATTAATCACATCTTCTATGGCGGTAGCTAAAGATGAAACGATTCAAAAGTTGTTTTCTTCCTCTTATATATTTCTCCGTTATTGAACTTTAAACATAAGTCTATTTTTGTCTTAACCCAGTTGATATTTATTTTCGTCTATTTTATTGGGATATAAATGGACAAATGTTGAAATTTGTTGGGAAATAAAGATTCAGAGGTTGTGGATTATTTTGGTTGACTGATGATCGGAAAAATTATTTTGTTGCGGAAAATATTCATCTTCTACTTTTTTTTGAGAACCCTATCGACGCTCCTCTGACATCATCATTCCGAATAATGTGTTTCTTTGGCACACGACACGACAGAGAAGCTCTCAACAGTCAAAACAACAGGGATTCTACACCTGTTTTGCGTTTTATTACATTTCTAAAAATTTCATCAAAAATTAACTAATAAAAAAAATTTTCCGGGAAGCGTCACAACAGTTGAATTCTCCCATGCAGTTCTCCAGAACTTTAGAGTACTTACTATTGCTGGTTTTCAGCTCACGAACATCGTATGAAGAAAATGAAACTCCGCAATAGTTACGTACATCATTTGATTTATGTATTACTACGGGAGTAAAAATAAACTATAAATCGATGGTTGGTTTTTTATTCATTGCCAACTTTTTTCGAATTTTTTTCTCACAGCAAATTAAGCAAATTAAAATTGCCACACGTATCAAAAAGGTTCCCGCCACAGACTTTCATGATAGATGCAATGTAGACTTGAGAGACAAAAGCAAATTGGAAGACTCTGCCGACAAGAATTAATAAATTGCAAAATGTCATGAATTAGTGCTCTGCAGAGCGCAATTTATGTGGCACTATACGGAATATCACTGACAGGGAACCTAAGGTGGCGGAACCAAATTTTCAGAAATGTTTTTCCGACAGTCATGTGTGCGGCATTATACCGAAGTAGACATTTTTCAATGTCTAATGATTGAATTATGTCGCTCATGAGTGATGCAGCACATGAAAATTTAGATTTCATCGTCTTATAGGAATTTCTGTACAATTATTTTCTGGACCCTACACTCGGAGAAAAACGAACAAGTTCTCAAACAACTACAAAATCGTTAGTTGAAACTTACCAAAAAATGCAGGGGACTGTATCTTCGATACAGCTGTAATTGTACGTAGATACGTCCATGGTCTTTCCTTCTTTCTCGAATTTTCTAGAAACTCCTTATATTCCCTCAAATTTTTTGGAAACTCTCTGAATTCTCTCGAATTTTCTAGAAACTTCTTGAATTCTCACAGAATTTCGTCGAAATTTCTAGAAACTCCTTGAATTTTTCCGAAACTTCAAGAAAATTCTCAAATTACCTCGAAATGTCAGAGGGAAGTTTATCAAGAAATATTTTGTCCCCAAGTTACAAGATTGCTGTCATATCACTATTATTATTTCATTTAAGAATTCATTTGTCTGTGATTACTGAATATCCGAAATGACAAACTACTATCCCTCGTTTCATATAAAACGAGCATTTGCCGGGAGCAAAATACACTGACAGAAAAAATTAATTTTATGAAGAGAATTTTCTTTGAACTATCATTTGGTTGTTAATTTGCAAATGAACATGACTTCATAGTGAATACCAGTTATCTCTTCTTGAGATACATTTGATTGGGAGAAATCGAACTTCGCTAGAATTGAAGTTCCTTTTGTGTCGTATCTCGATAAAAATCATTTTTTCTATCAGTGTACGTAGGGAAGCATCGAATAATGAAGAAGTAGTGCTAGAAATGATACTTCTTGCTTGCACAGAGAATAACATTTTTTTGAAAAAACTAAATCTATTTTTGCAATAAATTTTTCAATCACGGCGCACGCTTCGCATGTTTGGCATCAAAAAATCTTTTTTTGATAATTTAAAAAAAAATATTTTTTGGCATGAGCAAGACTTGTTTCAGAACTCTGCTGTTTTTCTCTCAGTGTACTACTAATATTCCAATTTTTTCGGTGATGGGTAATTTTTGGAAAAGTTATCAGAGGGCTTTGTTTGTGGACATTTTTTTGCTAGAAAGGTCTTACAACATTTCATGATAAGGACCTTCCAATTAGTCGTTCCCAGATAGTCGCACCTAATTACTACTAAAGAACCAAAGTCATTCGTCAATCATTTTTGTTCCAGCCAACGTATCAAAATCGAGAGGTAATTGAGGAGGCAGTAATGACCAGTGCATCTCAACCGTCGGGAAAAATGCCATCATTGAACAACAATCTCTCAGAACTTGATACTCTCCTTCAAGATTTAAGCAATGCTCGTTACAATTCTCACTTCCAGGAGCGAGGTCAGTTAGCATTGATCCCTTTAATATCAACCAAACTATAATGAAATGACAATTTAGAAAATTATTCAACTATTAAGATTGAACAATTACAGTCAGGATATGCAGATGGGGAATTTTAAATTAATTCTTCAATTTCGTTAACGCGACTATCATTCGTTTGGAATTCTGCACACTGACGAAAAGTTAACAAATAAACAAACAAAAATATATTTAACTGATACTGGACCAAAACATCGATAAAGTTCTTGATTTTTTTGTGGCAGTTGTTGGATCCCTTTTGCTTCCGAATAGAAGCCTTGCAATCGTTCCATTTTCTCATTTTTCCATTTTACTCAGAAATTATGTAGAATTGTTTGTGTCCGCCGGCACCGTTTTAGTCAAATTTGCATAAATTGAATAATTAAACGGCTGCAGAAGTTCCAAAAAAACGTATATTTTGTTAGATCGCTGGCATGGATTTAGACTAATTCTGCGCGGAATTTAAGCTTGATAGGTCCATTAGTTTTTAAGAAAAAGTAATTCGTTCTTAAGGCAATACGTCGGTGAAATGTAAAAGTCATCACTGGGCCTTGGGACCCATTGAACAGTTTATGGTATATGATGCAATATGGGAATAAGTAGGGAAAATCGCGGACCCAATCGATTCTGCCCCGTATAATACACGAAAAACTTCATTTTTTCCTGTTGTTACCTTCAAAATGCTCCTTGCGCCGTAGTTTTCATACGCTTTTAGCTTTGTTTTTTAAATGTTCGTTGCACTCCAAACAATAAAGTTAAGCATCCGTTTTACTTTATTCGCAATAGATTATGAATACATGAATTTTGAATTTAATAAACTTTACTCTACTCTAGAGACGCGAAAAATTTATGAAATTCAAAATTCATTTATTCATGATTTATTGGGAATAAAGTAAAATGGATGCTTACCTTTATTCTTTGGAGTGTAACGAACATTTTTAAAAAATAAAAATCTAAAATCGTATGAAAACGACGGCGCAAGGAGCATTTTGAAGGTGAAAACAGGAAAAAATGAAGTTTTTCGTGGTTATACGAGGCAAAATCAATTGCATTCCATCACATATCGCAAACTGTTCAAAGGCTCCCAAGACCCAGTGAGTACTTTTAAATTTTGTAGACGTATCTCTTTAAATAGTTTTACGCAAATATTTCGGAAACCATTTAAATTTTTTAAATAATTTTTTTGTCATTCAGTCTGCAAAGCGTTTTTTTACGAACGCCGTGGCAAGAACCATTGTTCAATACTTGACCCTAAAAAATTTTCCTACCTCATATGATTACAGAATTCGACTTTGTCTCATACTGAAAGCCGATTTTATCAAAATAATTGCTTCAATATTTCCTATCTCAATAAAAATATTTATAGCTGATCATATACAGTTTTCAAGATGTTGCCGATTTTAATTCTTTTAATAATTTTTGTCGTGAATTTTGTAAACATCTCGATAACTGGTTTGATAGCTCTTATTTTCTACACTGAGAGAAAAGTCTAGCAAAAATTAGTGTGCATTCATCAATGCTGGGACAAACATGGGCTAATCAGAAAATTTGAATAAAGCACTCTAATTTTTTCACACATCGCACGGAAAAATAGCGTATTACCAAAAAATAGGGGTGTCCATCCGGATTCTTTGGTGACCCCGTGTTCGGTCCCCCGGTCATAGTGGATATCACACTAATTTATAGAGGAACTTGCACGAGAATGTGATGTATTTTTCTCTCCGTGTACATTGGTAATATCAATTGATACAACCACCGACAATGGAACCATTTAGAGGTTTGCTCTCAATGTACAGTGGTTACTCCCTAACATTTCGGTTCCCTAACATTTCAGTCAGAGAAGTTGACTTCCCCCACCATCGACAACGTAAATGTGTTTGGGTAAATCTGTGTGTCCCTCTGCGCGACGGGACTGCGCAGTAAAATTATTTTCGGAGTGTGAGAGTGAAATAGGCATATTCTTTCTCTCTGTTTATCTCTTTCCTAGCTCCGCCTCCAACGGAAGAGTAAGGGCTTCCCGAAAATTTCATTCCTTGAATTCTGGCCTCAGAGGCTGCAATGTTAAGGAGTAACCACTATATTGATGGCGAAATAGTACATTTCGATACACGCGATAGTATATTGTGCCCCTAGGGAGTAAAAGTATTTTCTGACGAATGTGACGTTATAACCCAAGCCGAAGGCGAGGGTTATAATCACATGAGTCAGAAAATACTTTTACTGCCGTGTGGCACACGATATTTTATGCCTCGAGGACTGAAAACCGCGATTTAACCGAGCGAAGCGAGGTTAGAATCGCGGTTTTCTGTCCCTAGAGGCATAAAAATAGCATGTGCACCTCGGGCGGGAAAACATGACTTTCCGCCCTTGATGCACAATATACTATTTCACACCCCTGCACGGAAAGTTCATACGCTTTCCTCTGTGATGAGCGGCAGGAAAGTGAGCACTTTCCGTCCAAGGGTGGAAAGTACTCACTTTCCCCCTGCTCATCAAAGAGCAAAATACGAACTTTCCTTTGCAAGCGTGTTACAAAATCACATGTGCACCTCGGGCGGAAAGTCTTGACTTTCCGCCCTTGATGCACAATAGTAGATGTGCACCAAGGGAGCACAATCTACTAACCAGAAAGACCCATTTTACACACGAAAAGTAGTGGACTTTTTCATGCACGTATGTCAAAAAGATCATTGCTGCATCGCCATATAGACCATCTATAGTCGCATGTTTGCGGTCACCTGCTTATGTTTTTGAGAGATGTATCAGTAGAGATGTTTTTGTCAGACGCTAGATCAGTGATCGGAGGACAGAATGGCGGGACCGGCAGCCCCATGATACGGTCATCAAGTAGTTTGTCAACATCCAGGCCTACTGTTGACTCACTTCTCGAGGAGTTGAGCACTGCTGTACCTTATGTGTAAGTGGAATAATTCCTTTTACGTTTATCTAGAATACTTGAGGAATGGAGGGGTGAAACGAGAGGAATATAATCAAAAAATCCCATTCATCAGATGTTTATCTCGGAAGTGCCTGCATTTAGAGCGAATATCAAGGAGCTTTTCTCGTAGAGAATATATTCAGTTGCAATTAATATACGGCCGGAATAATCATGCAGCCTGTGTACTTTTAAATTCTTGTCAAATTTTTTTTTATCGTTATTTTACATTGCTTCGACCCGGTCAAGGTATATTGCGATGATGATCAAGACTTGAAAATGGTTAGATCGCACCATTCTACCCGGCCGGGATTTTTAAGTCGGAACCTTTCGCATGTGAGGCAACGAACTTATCCACTGCGCCAAGCCATCGGGCTTTTAATTTTTTTTTAAATTTCGTATTCAATAAAAATTTCCATTATGTAATATAATCAGAGTTTAACTCATCCAGAGGCATATCCCTAATTGCTGAGGAACAATGAGAGAGAGTGAAGAGTAGCGGAAATAGGAGCTTACAAAATTTGTTTCAGAAAATTTTTACCAACAGAATCCCAACACAATAATTTGTATTGAACATGAACCCTTCGTTACTCGCCTCCACGACACTGCGCCGGTGAAAATCTATTTTTTAGTATAACTTCTGAAAAAACTCATTAAAAAATTAGCAAAAATTTGGATTTCTCACTGATTTTATCTAAAAGAATATTATGCCATTTCTAACCATGGCCAAAGCCCCGGATTACGGAGTAAAAATTCCAGAGTGAATTTCGACTCTAAGTGTACACCAAACAGAGTGAACACAAGTCTACACCGTTTTTCGGTGTGAATGTACGGAGTTGATTCATTCTGGAGTGAAATGCAGCGAGTGGAGTGAAAATTGACACTGCCATGGTATCAAAATGAACAAATTAATCAACACAGTTCGGTGTGAAAAATAAAAATTGACTTCGTACCAAAATTTGGCTCCGGGCGAGAGTTAATTTTAACACCGGAATATTTAACCCCTCATACCAGAGATAGTAACACCTAATTTTTTTTACTGTGTATAGAAAATTCACTCCTATGCTAATCGGAAACCAAAAATACAACGCCGTGCCGCGACTCGACTGATCGTGTCACGGAAATATTTCACACGGTGTTGCCACACTTGTGGCTTCCTAGGCTGCCGGGAGATCAGCCAACCCACTCTCCGAATGAATTGTGGCAACGGCGCGCTCAGATTTACACCACGGCGCGGCGCTGCGATGCGAGTAACCGCGTCGGGCAGTTTCACACGAGTAACGAAGGGTTGAAATTTATAGATTTTTAGAGTGAAGATGTTTTCTCACTGAAAAGTAAAAAATGAAGTACATGAATCGAAAAAAAGCGACAGAATTCGTAATAGAATTTCATAGTGAATGCGGTTGAATCTTCTATTTTGTCATATCCATGAGTTCATAGAATTTACAAATAAATCTTGATAATTCTATTGGAAAGTAGCGAAGACATGCAGATAAATCATTCAATGTCATGAAGATCATTCTGCAAATATTTCTAATCATCGTAGTCTGTCGCGGTACGTCAAAGGATCAGTTTTATTCGCGATGTTAAATTGACGAGTGGCGGCGCTGAAGCTTAACAAGATGGCTAACATAAAATTTTCCAATTGAGAATTTTCAGTCACACTTTCAAATCCTAAGGGGATCAATGGAGTAAAAACCCATTTATTATTGAAGAGCATAGTTAATCGAATCAAAGACAAGCCTTAATTGTGTGTATTAATGCGAAGCTTCCCCTAATACCACTTTTGTTGAATTCATTCGAAACATTTTATGTCGGTCATATTGAAGCATCAGCGGCGCGTTACCTCCAGTTAACGTGGCAAATTTCTCTATATTGTAAAAATCCAAATCGACTTTCCGTGATGAAAATTTGGTACTCAAAATTAAGATTCCACAATTAAGGGTTAGAAATGAAGATGTCAAATAAGGGTCATGAGGTTCACAAGGGTCAGATTAAGGGTCACACAGGTGAGAATAAGGGTCCAAATAACAGTCATAGAGATCAAAATCACACTGAAAGAAAAATTTCCTAATATGTAGACCATATTTAGTTGAGAAAAGTAAATTATTTTCAATGGTGTAAATCTCAGAATGTTTGCGGTTCACGAAACTCGAATGAATTCTTAATTATCACTACCGTTGAGCATTATATCGTGAATATATTACATATCGAAATATTGGAGCTGCATAGCAAAAAAATCATGAAAACAATAAATACTTGACGATTGACGATTTGAGGCGATTTGAGTGAGTTCATTTGCGACAAAATCATACTTAAGTACAAGAATATTTTAAAGCATGAGACCTTTCTCAGGCCACGTGAGTTGAGATGCCTGGGAGAATTAAACAATTGAAGAAAAATTACTTGTCTCAAGAAAATATGTTTCAGATGTTGGAATTTTTTTTCTCAGTGGAGAATCATGGGGATTATATGGGCCTATATAGGGGTCATGTGAGGATCATATGGGGATCATATGGGAGTCATGAGGGTCATATGGGGGGGGGGGGGTTGGCGAGAAGAGGACGTCCCCCTAATAAACTATAAAATTCACTGCGAAAAAGGCTTTCTAATGACCTGGACGGAATCTTTTCCATTTGAAATATTTGCGAAACAATTTTTAATTCTCTCTTGGGTAGATCGCCGTTCACCACTCAACTACTGGATTACTCAAAACATTCCGAAAAAAAATATCATGAAAAATTATACAAATTTTTAAAGTGAATATCCACAAGAGGGACGTGTGAAAGTGACAGTTCAAGAAACGTCGACCGAGGTCCAGCCAGTATACGAGCCCATGTCTTTTTCGCAAGCTGAGGTACATCGAGGATTTTCCAATGGCCATGCGGCAAGTAGTGCAACCAAGGAACTAGACGACCTCATGGCATCACTCTCTGAGTTTAAGGTAAGGAGATTAAATCCGGCTATATTTTTTTTTCATGCAGAATAATCTCTTCAGGTAGGCGGAAAAAAAACCACAGAAGAAGAAGAGCGCAGACCGATCACGTGGTTAAACCCATGCGATTTCGTTTTTTTTCCGGGACAGCTTTTTTCTGTCGGTTGTTCCTTCCGAGATTTATCTCCTCGATATCACGATAGAAAAAATCAGACATTATTTATTTAATATTTTTGTAATTTGATAAAAATAATCATTTTGCTTTGTAATAATCAAATAACTCTACACCTTAGTAAAATCAGACATTATTTATTTAACATTTTCATTTATTGAGAAAAATCATCACTTTGCTTTTTAATCATCGAATAACTCTACACTTCAGTAGCGAAGCGGTAGCACAATTCAAGGCAATTTGTCTCGAATATGGGATTTTCATCTAAATCGACTCTTAACGATGTTCAGGAGAGAAGTAGAATATTCGAAAAATGCAGCCAATTTCATGAAATTTTTTTCACATATTAATTAATCTATTTAGGCACCCCTTGCAAAATTTTAGAACCCGCAGGTTCAGGACAACAACAAAAATGAATTCTAAAATTGCTACGTATACTGAGAGAAAAGCGATATAATATCACAAAAATCATTTCTTGAGCGAAAAACAACGCATACATATTTGATCAATTTATGGTAGGTTTCAGACAAGAAATCGGTGCTCTTCGGGCTAAGGAGGAAGTTACTGAATGAAAAGATGATGCCTTTTTTTGAAATGAGATAATGTTCCGTAAAAGACAAGAATAGTTTGACAGAAGGAAGAGAAGATATTGCTTTCCTTCGAACTCAAAGTGATTGAGCGTAAGCAACGGTTATATTTTTCTAATATCTAGAGGTTTTCCTTCGCATAAACTCTCTATTTAGTCAATATGAAAGTTTCTGATTCATGATTCACTAAATCGAAGCTTTTAATATTTTTAGTCATTTTCTCATCTTCTGACACGAAAACACCGATTTCTTGTGGCAAGAAATTCTCACTTTATCATGAAATATTCATGTTCAAGCCATGAACACTTCACTGAAATCTAACATTGTCTGACACATTATCCGGAATTCTTATTCCAAGAAATTTATCCTCAAAAGATGAGATATTCGTCGCAAGAAATTAGTTTTGTGATATTGTAACAATATTTCTCTTAGTATCGATAACTCGTACATTTTCCCTACATTGTCGACCAGTCGGCAATGTGCAAAAAATACAGTAGAGGCTTCGTATAAGATACCTTAGGGACAGTAGGAGAGAGAAATTCCGGGAACCCCTATGCCCCCACTACGCGCGCCCGTAGAGAGGAGAAAAATAGGGATCAGCGGGTTTCAAATAAGATACCTTGCTCGTCGCGCCCGAATTTTTTTTTATAATTTTGACTTTTTAGCCGAAACACCTTATGAAGACCATAATAATTTATAAATCTCCTAAAAAACAGTTGCAAATTTCGAATTGAACGGTTTCACCGCTTCGGTACTGAATTATTGAATGTCTCAAATCCTGCGTTCAAATGACAAGCATTCAGTTTTTACTGCTGTTACTCATCTGATATATTTTAGCAGTATTGGATACAAAAAACTGCTGAAGAACCTCTTTTTGTTGCGACTCTCACTCATCCTCGACATATTGACATAACCCTTTCAAATAGAAAAAGTTTCAAACGTATTGACAATTTCGTGTCTAATTCGCAATCTTCAAACGACAACTGAAATGAAGATTTGACAATTTAAGTCGAATTAATTCATTACAGAAATGACAAGAGGGATACAAATCCGGAGTTGCATGACAAATGAAACTAATATCTTTATCAAACACTTGGTATAGTGAAAAAAATGGCAGAGGAAACCAAAAATTTTTTGTGAGGAAAAAATCGATTACCGTGATATGAAAAAAATTTATATATCTGATGTATTTTTAGCAGGATTGAATACAAAAAGAATGTTAAAGAACCTCTTTTTGTTGCGACTGTCGCTCATACTCGCCATATTGACATAAACCTTTCAAATAGAAAACATTTCAAACGTATTGACAATTTCATGTCTAATTCGCATCCTTCAAACGACAACTGAAATGAAGATTTGATCATTTAAGGCAAATTCATTAATTAGAGAAATGACAAGAGGGATAAAAATTCGGAGTTGCATGACAAATGAAAGTAATAACGTTGTAAAACACTTGGTATAGTGAAAAAAAATGGCAGCGGCAGCCAACAATTTTTTGCAGAGAAAAAATCGATCACGATGGTATGAAAAAAAAACTACCAATGATTTCTCGTGTTGAATACTGTAGTCAGTCCCACGCGGTTGTTAAGCCAATCGAGTTTATGTTTAAAATCGCTCCTCTGCCCATTCTTGGCTGGCCATGTTACCGAAATAGCTGAAACTGTGAAGGAATCACAGGCAAAATTGACGGGGAAGTGGGAGGGAGGAACTAAAAATCACAGAGTTGAGTGAGAAAACTCAAGCAGGAGCTTTCAGTCGGTCTCGGAAGCTCGTCGAGATCACTAAGGTGATAAAAACCCCTGGAACTCATAAAAAACAAATCATCAGCTATTGGAAATTTTCAAGAAGAAAATTCTCAACAAAAAATAATCACAGGGATAAACTTTATCGCTTCATTTTTATTGCAGATCAACTCAGGAAGTCATCAGCTGCAAACAGTGACAGACTCACCTTACGCAAAGCCTAACAAAGCGACGAAGAGTAGTCCAAGTCCATTACCTCAAGAGCCAAGTGCGGCCCAGACACGAATTCACATAACAGAGACCCAAACATCCCATCAATATCAACCCCTACAGGGCGAGAGTAGTCACACGACCACTCACATCAGACAGAACCAGCTGGATTCTATGCTTGGTAATCTCCAGGCAGACATGAGTAGACAAGGTGTCACTACAACCCAGAAGGGATGCTGCAGTGCTTGCGAAAAGCCCATTGTTGGCCAAGTCATAACAGCACTTGGAAAAACATGGCATCCTGAACATTTTACTTGTACTCATTGTCGCGAAGAGTTGGGGACTAGGAATTTTTTTGAAAGAGAGAATCATCCTTACTGTGAGAATGATTACCACAATTTGTTCTCACCGAGATGTGCTTATTGCAATGGACCGATTTTGGATGTAAGGACGACTGATATAACTCATCCTGATTGTTAATCGTTGAATTATCTAGGTGTCGAGTGATGCTGAGTTAAAATATCCATCGGCTTGTATTGTTGAAGTCACTGGATATTTTCTCCTGAAATCACTCATTGCCGAAAAATAAGGAAAACAAAATTTTATATAGAATTAGAGCTACAATGAAATTATACAATTATTGCAGAAACTTCATGGAAATTTTGAAATATTTATTTTTGGTTTCTAGAAATGTGTAACAGCATTGGAGAAGACTTGGCACACTGAGCATTTCTTCTGTGCTCAATGTGGAAAACAATTCGGTGAGGAAGGTTTCCATGAGCGAGATGGTAAACCATACTGTCGTGAGGATTATTTTGATATGTTTGCACCGAAATGCGGTGGTTGCAACCGTGCTATCATGGAAAACTACATCTCAGCCCTTAATAGCCAGTGGCACCCAGATTGCTTTGTCTGCAGGGTATAAAAATTCTCAATTTACTACTGTTTCATCAATTTTTTTCTATGTTTTCAGGAATTGGTTGTGAGAAAACACGAATATTTTTGATGAGATAACGTCATCTATTGGATTCCTAGATTTCTTTTTCAGCAGTTAGAAAGTTGTGGAGGCTTAAAAAAAATTTTTAAACTATTGACAATCCACAAATTTTCTATATGAATTCACCTGTGCTCACCAAGGTTACGATATTCTAGGACTGCAAGAAAGCTGTCTCTGGAAAATCATTTTATGCTATGGAGGGCAAACCCGTCTGTCCGAAATGCGTGGGTGTAGATGAGGAAGAAGAAGAGGAAGGAGAAGAGGCTTGAATCATCTGTCAAACATTTTTTCAATTTTTTTTTCAACATCACAACTTGAGACATTCAAGACGTGTTCCTCATACCCAAATGCCCATTGGACTCCAACATGTGGAGTCCTTCCCCAAAAAAATTATGCAAATTTTTTTTATTATTTTTATATGAGGAGAAAACGTCTCGTTGTCAATTTTCAGGGAATGTCAACTTCTTTTTCACCCCAAAGAAATGATAGATTTATGAGAAAAAATCCCACATAAAAAAAATCTTTACACACACGAATCAAAGGGAAAATATATTTTTTGTCCGACTTTTTGATAGTTTATTTATTAATCAATGATTGTGACATGTATTAAATGATTAAAAAAACAAAAAAAAAACAAAAAAAAACACAAACAAAAACAATACAAAGCGAAACGCAATGAGGAGGCACAGGTGTTTGTGTCCCAGTTCTCTAGTTTTTTTTTCTTTTTGAGGATGTGCCCTTGCCCCTTGTTATTCAGGAGCATGCTACAGCCGTCCTTGACCTCTTAGATTCATGTGTGCTCCGAAGAAACAGCTTTCTATATTGTGTCTTTATGCACTTCCCATTTTATCTTTTCAATGCCAAATTTTCTTTTCTGATTGATCGTTTTTGGTTATAAATTGCCAAGAATAAGAAGGGGAACCAAAATTAGAAACAATAAAAAACATAGTTTTTTTAATGTTTTTTAAACTGTTGCAATTTGTCATATTTTTCCCTATCGTTAGTACGAGGTTGCTGAGGTGATCTAGTCAAGGTCGCCTAGACCTCGACTTCATTGAAGATTGTTAAGTTATGTGGGCGTAGAGAGGATGGGAGGGTGGATAAGTGGGCGGAATAGGGAGATGAGATTTTTGGGGATTTTAGGATGTTCTGTAGACATAAGTGAAGACTTTCGAGTTTTGGAGTTCCGCCAAACTCTTGAAATGTCATTTGATAGAGCACTTACACGTTTTTTGATGAAATACCGAAAATACCTAGCAAATTCTGAAAATTGTCATAAACGTTTGGAGCACAGTTGAGCTTTTACTCCTGATTTGTGCTTCCGAATGGCCGTATTGTAATCGTCCCATTTTCATATTCTCTAATTCTGACTCGAAACAGGGATGGCCATCCATCTTCCGATTCTTCAATACTAAAAGAATTTCCGACTTACATTGATCATTTCATTGGTCATTTCAGGGCTTTTGATGGTCATTTGGGACGTGCCCGTAGCCAAGGGGGGAGGGATAATATTGGACCACCGATTTGATCCCTGAGAATTGGCCCTCATTTTGATCCTTAATAATAATTGGCCCTCAGTTTGACCCTTATATTTTGACACTCATATTTTGACCCTTAGATTTGGAACCTTGGTTTAGCCCTTAAAATTTGACCCTTACATTTTGACCCTTGTTTTAACTATCACATTTTGATTCTTATATTTTGACCCTTGTTTTGACCCTTACATTTTGATTCTTATACCTTGACCCTTGTATTTAGACCTTTATTTTGACGCTTAGATTTGGACCCTTAAATTTAGACCCTCGGATTTTGACCTTCGTTTTTTGACTGTGATATTTTAACCCATATACTGATCCTTGTCTTTGAACCTTTATATTTTTACTTTCCTATTTTGACCCCTACATATTTTGATAAAATTGGGAGCGGAAAATTCCTGTATTTTACCCATTATGGAGCGAACCAATAACTTCCTGACCGATTCGCATTTTTTCTGTTCTTCGAACATTTGGAGTGTTTTTACATTTGTCTCTGCAATTATTATAGAAAAAGTTGGTGAAAAAATAATCGATTTTCGAAAAAATCACTGCCGGGATCAGGAATAAAAGTCCAAATAAAGGTCAGAAATAAGGGTTTGAAATAAGGGTTACAAATAAGACTCAGTCCTCGGGGTCAAAATACGCGTATCAAAGTATAAGGGTCAGAACGTAGAATGTCAGAATATAGAGATCTAAATATGAGAATCAAAATTTAAGGGTCAAACTCTAAAGGTCAATATGTAAGGGTCAAAATATAAGAATCAAAATGTGATGATCAAAATGTAAGTCAGAATAAGGGTCAAAATATAAGAGTCAAAACAGGGGGCACAATTTAAGGGTACAAATCTAAGAGTCCAAATGTAAGGGTCAAAACAAGGGTCAATATTTAAGCGCCAAAATATAAGAATCAAAATTTGATGATCAAAATGTAAGGATCAAAACAAGGGTCAAAATCTAAGAGCAACAATGTAAGGGCCAAACTAAGGGTCAAACTGAGGGCCAATTATTATTAAGGATCAAAATGAGGGCCAATTCTCAGGGATCAAATCGGGGGTCTAATATTATCTTTCCCCCCTTGGCTACGGACACGTCCCAAATGTCCACCAAATGACCATTAAAAGCCCTAAAATGACCACTAAATGACCACCAAAAGCCATGAAATGACCATGGAAATCCGTGGCTTGGCCGTGGTTTTCTTCATACGTGCTGTCAGATCGTTAGTTACCATGATAAATTATCCATTCACTATTTCCTCTCTATCGGCCTTATTTCTTAATCTTTATTAAAAACGCTGTTTGAAAATGTTCAGTTTTTTTTCTACTTTTTGATTGTTTTTCTACTTTTTATGATTGTACAATCATAATTTCTAAGCACTCCTGCGTGATGTAAAATCCAATGGAAACTGTGATATATTTTACATTATGAAGATGGAAAAACAATCGAGATAACGGTCGAAAGATAATCAACCCGGGCCTTAAGAAAACTAATCATGATGTAATTATTCATAGAACGTTTGTAAAATTGTAGTATGAATTTGCATGTACTTTGTTGTTTTTCATTAACCAATATATGAACAAAATGTTCTCAATTTTGTTTTCTGATTCTAGGACTGCCGACAAAAATTCCAGGGTGGTTCATTTTTTGATCATGAGGGTCTTCCCTACTGCGAAACTCATTACCATGCGAAACGAGGATCTCTCTGTGCGGGATGTCATAAACCAATCACAGGTAGTTAATTCATAACCCATGATAACTAGTACGTTTATCCAAAAATCTTGGAAGTCGTCTTTTATAGGCCATCAAACTCTCATCGAGTTCCTCTGAATAATTCCGTCAATTATTATTATATAAAATTTTAGTGTTCCCGAAGCTTTTCACAGGATTTCCTTACCATTCAAAAAATCTAGAAAATATTTCTTTTAATTAAAAAATTTTATCACGTAAAAAATAATTCTTCCCATTTTTGAGTTTTTGAAGGAATTTTATGTTCAAAAAAAGATAATGAAGCATTTTAAATTTTTCAATATATTTTCTAGATGGATATTTTCAGTTCTTTCCATTCAGGATAGTTTCAATTAGCTCAAAATAACAGAAATGATCTGAAACGCCAACACATTTTCTGTTTTTTCTACGTTGAAGTGACTTTTTTAAACAAATATCCGAATATCAATCATAAAATAATCACTTAAATGGAGACGTGATGACTTCCATACCTTCAAGAATATTTTAATTAGCAGAAGAAAATTATTTGAAGTGAAAATAACAAAACAAAAAATAATTAAATTAAGAAATAGTTGAATGCAGCTGAAACCATCAATTTCTCGACGACTGGGCCATATTTTCTTTTATTTATGGAATATTCAATACAAGTTGAAATCGTCCAGAAACTAACCCCCGTCTAGAAATTGACCTGGTTACCCTATGTCTGAAAAATTCTAGACTCAAAAGCTTTGGTATTTTGTTTTCTCGACGCGTTTTTCAACGTATGATCTAGATTTTGTTTCTTTAGCATATTGGAAAATTATATCCACTCTAGAGAAGTACCTTGAACGAATTATAAATTAGTTTCGAGGTCTTCGCGGTCATGAGAAATGAAAGAAATACAAATCCAAATGGACTTCTGGTGATAGAAATTTGGTACTTGAAATTAAGACTCCAAAATTAAGGATCATGAGGTTCAGAATAAGGGTTACGAGGTGCAAATTAAGGGTGACAGGGATCAGATTAAAGCCATGAGGGTCACGAGGGTCAGATTAAGGCTCACAAGGGTTAGATTAAGAATCACAGGGATCAGATTAAGCGTCTCAAGGGTCAAAATAAGGGTTATATTGGTCATTAAAGTCACAAGGATCAGAATAGAGATTATGGGGACCATATGGGAGTTGGCGAGCGGAGTGAGCAGGGGTCGTAGCTAGTTTTTTTTAATAAGAGCAATAAAAAAGTTCCTGTGATTTTTCATAATCCCTCTTCAATCGGAATCGACTTATCTTGCTGCACCACTTGATTCTTCAGTTGTACTCCCTACCTGATATCCTAATCAGTAAATATGTTCATTGTTTTTTATTTTTCATTTTTAGGCCGTTGCATAACTGCGATGTTCAGGAAATTCCACCCCGAGCATTTTGTCTGTGCATTCTGCCTGAAGCAGCTCAACAAAGGAACATTCAAGGAACAGAATGACAAGCCCTACTGCCACGGTTGCTTCGAGAAGCTGTTCGGTTGATCCTCTAAAAAGCTTCAGAAAAGTTACTCACAAAAATTTTAAAAGAAGCACGATGATTGAAATTACAATCAATGAGGGAATTTTGAAAATAATAATTACTGCAATACAAGATATGAATTCCTTCTGAATTTTTTTGAACTTGTTATATTTATGATTATTTTTTCCCCTAGACTTCTAACAGATTTCCAATAGAATCATTGCGATATAGGAGAACCTATAGGGGTTTTAAAACGGATATTTTCCGTTACCACCGGCAATTGACAAAATATGCGCAAGTAATTTTCATGATCGAATTCTAGGGAAAAAATAATCCGAAAAATACCCCTCGAGCTTGAAAAATGATCGGATATTTCCCTTCCCTTTCCCTGCAATAGGAGAATGTCAAGTTCATTTATATATAACGAAGTTGTCAGGAAATGATCAATCATTCCGAAGCTCTTGGGGTATTACTAATGAATATTTATGTACAGTTGTCATTAACTCTTAATTAATCCTGGAATTTAATTTTTTCTTATTATTTTTGAATTGATTTTTAATGTGACAGTGGAAAGAGAAATTTTATCAATATGAAGTTTTAGAACTAATAGATATTTTCAGTTGCAATTTATGGTACTATTAATACAGTATTAAGTAATCCACTCAAATAATGAAATTAGTTGTTCGATGAAAATGCCAAATAGCGACTAGAAAATCTACAATGTGAAAAAATGTACGAACAAACTTGTTTTAACTGAACAAGGAGAAGTGAATAACAAATTGAAACATCAGTTTTATACGAAATCAGGCTCCAGATTGTTTATTTGTACAATCAACGGTGTTGTTTTCTCAGTAAACATTGATAATCCTAAACATTAAGAAAACGTTCAATAAATACACGACCATTAAAAGATTCCAAACGTAATTTAATTGAGACAATTAATCCCACAACGAGGCTTACACACAGAAAACACCGAAAATCAATTCGCAAAGAGGAATGCTCAAGTAATTCAGCACATACAAAAATATATAAACAGTATTTTACATTTTATGTACAAATTTTTCGTTATGAGAAAATGAATGGCCTCGAATTGTCCTTGTTAAAAATGAATTAGCTTAAGGGGGGTCCAGGTGCAGCAAAGATGTCGAAAAAAAAATAGAATTTTCATTTTTCTATGCAATAGAAAAAAAGCTGGATCGATTCAGAGAAATTACAATTGTTCATTTTTGTAAATAATCAGGACAATCGTGGCTTTGAAATTTATCAAGCAAGACTAGGGAATAAAATCGAGAAGCTCTCGTGCCAGGGGTCACCCAACTGTGTGACATTTGGGCTCTTCTCGACTCTAGGTTCGTCATGAGACTCGTATCCACAGTCATCATGTTTATACCTCAGATGTCCATCAGAATCGTCCGAATGAATACTGACAGGTGACAAACTGTCAGAAATAGTGTAGCCAGGTGAAAGGTGATCTTTGTATGAGTATTTCGGTGTTAAATGTGTGCTATCATCACTGGAGACTTCCTGAACGCATTCCTGGATGGCAACATCATCATCCTCAGTACAAATGATGGTGATACAATTGGTAGCCTCGTCGTAAGTTCCGTAGACTGTATCGAGATCATTAGTAACTGGTTCCTGTTTAATTTTACGCTTCAGAAGATCCGCCGGGGATAAATAATTGGAATTCTGGTCTGAAGGGACCGGAATGATGGTGGAATTTGTCAAAACTTCATTATTTGTCTCTGTGTAAACGAGCGGAAAACAATCTGGAACTGATTCCGATGGATATGAGTCCCTCAAGCCTTCACTGGCTGCACTGGTTTCCACATTTTCTGATGTCTCCCCCACCATTCTCTTTGTATTGTCATATTCTTCAGCGGTATCTTCCTTCCCGCTGTCTTTGTCATTTGCTCGATTAGAATTTGCTTCCACTTCAGCGGTAACCTCTCGCAAAAGGCTCTCGGCGAGTTCTTCGAGTCTGATGATGTAGTCGTCCCCTTGAAGATCTCCAAAGAGCTCCTCGAGAGGAGGTAGAGGGTCAGTATCTTCAAGATTACCGTTGCATTTTGGGTCAGAGCTGGTGCCGATTGTGTTTTGCCACCCTGCGGCAGAGGGTTGGGGGACGCGGCAGATCCCAGTGTGGGCTTAACACAAGCGACACGATTCTGACACGATTCACAGTAAGTTACTGATGATGCTGATTGTGAATTCTCCGAGGGACTCTTTGACTCGGACTTGAGACGTTGGGTCTCGGCAATGAGGGCCTCGTTCTGAGAGCGTAGGAGAGCGCATTCTTCCGAGAGGAGATCGTTCTGCTCATGGAGGGCACGCACAGTTTCCTCGAGCTCGTCGAGCTTGGCTTTCTTGCGATCTCGGGATGTCTGGGCTGCCACTCGGTTCTTCAGCTTTCTGCAATTGAATTTTTTCGTTTTTATTTCGATATTCATTCAACATTAATTAAGCCAATAAATGAGGACATCCACGCCAAATCAGCAGACAAAAAAAGTCGATGCTGGAGATTTTTGTCTCAATTTTTTTCTGAAAAAATGTATATTGGACAAAAATTTTGGAAAAAGAAAAATGAAAAAATATTGATAATTGAGGAAGTATGATTTTTTGAAAGTTTGAAAATGGCTAGTTTTTGTAAACAAAATTTTTTTATCCAAATTGGCCTCCATATTTCTGCGGAATTTCAAATAATCAAATCGCAGTTTGGCCCATTGAAAGAACATGAAAAACCCTTCAAAATAAGACGTCACACATGGCATTATTTTCAGTTTGACGGGGTTTATACGAGAAAATGTTTTTTTTAATGATTAATTACTAAAAAAGCAAATTTTTTTTAAATCTGAAATATTCAGTTATAATACCCCGAGACCTTCAAAATTATCGGAATATTTCCCGATAGCTTCGTTGCAAACAAATGAAAGTGTCAAGTTCTACAGGCTAAAAATCCCGAGTGCGCAGCACGAAGAATTTTTCTGCAAAACTTGACACTTTTGTTTGTTTGCAGGGAAGTTTGAGGGAAATATTGCCAGTAATTTTGAAGGTCGAGGGGTATTCGGCGGAGAATTTTCCGGAATTGTATTCCCATGTATTGTATTCTCAAATGTATTCCCATTGTATAATTAGACAAATGATAATTTTTCACTCAAAAAATCATACTGAAGACGAATAATAAAATATGAATCTACCATTGGCTAATATTCAATTGAATATTCACTCATTTGGGCGATAATTGCATGAATAATAGTGATTTTCATTTAATTTAATTTCATTTAATTCTGTAGCCGAGATTTCCTCAAATTAAGAGAAAATTTATCTCAATTTAGGCACAATTATAGTAACTTCAAGTAAAAATTGAATATTTCGAGGATTTTTTGCTCTCTAGATTTCAATACCATAGAGTCCTGATATCCAGAGATTTTTATTGGAAACTAGAAATTTTTTCCATCTGTTAATGTTGGCAGCAGGGGAAATTTTGCTTGAAAACAAACATAACATTCCGCTTTTTTTGTGGGGAATTAATAACCATGGTGTTACGAGGTGGAATGACAGCTCGAATGCCAGCTGTATCTTCATCTTTCCTTTACATATTTCAATGGTGGCAAAGTATAGTTACTCTTCAGTGAAACTGTAATCGAAAAATTCTTCACAATCAAGGATTCTCTCCAAATCATCAAAATGATTTTCCAATAAATCAAAAGATAAAATTTCAAATCAATTTTCTTCTAAGATGAAACAAGTATTTTTATGAAATTAAGTTATTACATTCTGGGGAACCTCGTTATAGAGCTTGAACAATTTCGATTTTCGAAGAAAAATATCACTTGACATTTACTCTAGAAAAAATAGAAAATTTAGATAAAATAAATGCAAGGGTTCCATCCACTTTAACTGAATATTCCCGTTCAAATGTTCACAATATAAAAAAAATTTGAAAAATACTTTGAATGTCATTCCCTTGAAATTATTATTTTCCCAATTATTCAGTGATTTAAGCATACTCAAATAAATTATTAATAAATGGACAGTATTTGTAAAAAGAGGTATGTATTTAGATGCCACCATTATGACGACATATGCTAGCGTGGAAGGAAAATCATAAATTTTAGTTTTAATGCAAAAATAATCATTCTAAATAATTTAACAAACAAAAAACATAGATACAAGTTCATGAAATATTGACTCACTTTCTTTGTAATTTCTCCTCCCACGTGAGGTGATCAAGCCTTCTCTTTTTTCCCCTCAGCCACTCGTCTGGTTTAACAATCTCACACGTTGAATCATCCATTTCCTCAACCTTCATTTTCCTCGGTTCCATCTTCGGCTTGGCTCCACGAATCGAAGTCGCAAAATTTATTTCGTTACCGAGTGCAGTTTTTTGCATGCCTTTAGGCAGCGTAATGATGACACTCCTCGGAAAGCTCATGATAAGCCATTAAATTCTCGAATGTTCTACGGTGGAAGTTCAACTTTTCAACGCCTCTCAATTGCCAGTTGTTTTGTTTATTATCAATTTTCGTCGGTTGTAGCGTTTCTCACGATATTCCACTTCCGATAACTTCGAGAGACGATCGCAAACTGAATCCTTGCATCACCTCTAGGATCAAGTTTATTTCGCTTTCTCCTTATGGTTCTATTCTTCTCACGTTTCTGATGCAACTGTTGTGACGTACAAAGTGTTGGATACCACGATTCGGGCGATGGTAGGTGGTGGGGAGTAGGAAATTACGGTTCAGGAGGTGAAAAGGGGTTGGATTGGCCGAGACAACGGGTGAATTGATGTGGGGTTTTGTGATTGGTCAGTGGAGACACCACAACTGGAACTGTGTCGTCATGGTGATCTGTGTTGGGTATTGTGGTTGGGGGAATATTTTTTATTTTTGGCAAGGACTGAATCAATTGGAGTAAAACGTACTCTATTGTTTTTTTTATAATTATTATAATTTCGGAAACGTTATTGTTCTTTCAATTCAGGGATCGGCATCAATCATTGTTAGAAATTTTCGTCTGAATTTTCCGTGCCAAATTCCGCAAGTGTTTGATCATGTTCAAATTCCACTGAAATTTCAGGAAATCTTAATTGTCTAAATCCGATTCAATATCACTCTCATGAGATTTACTATAATATCTTCAATGAAATTTCAAAAAATTTCTAACAGTGATCGTTACTAATTTTTGTAATTATGTAATATTGTAATTACAAAATTAATAATGAAATAATGAAGATCTATTTATCTCCATTGAAATTTAAAAAATAATAAAATAAGTGACAATATGGAATTGTCAATTGACTATTGAATAAATTATTCTCACTTTCATAGAGAGAATAGGCCAATAGCGATTTCAATAGGCCAAAAACAATTTTTTCTTGATTTTTGGACATGTTGGAAAAGAGGTTCAAAAATATATATCAACGCGGGGAAAAAAAGAAGAAAAAAATTGTGCATAAGTTATGCAAAGAACTCGGTAAATATTAGCTGCATAAAAAAAATGAAAAAGTACTTTTTTACTTCCAAGGTATAATAGATTCATACGAAGTTCCTTTGCAAGAAAGTCCAATTGACCATATATTTTTTAATAAGCAAATCAAAAAGTTAATGAAAATACGTTTGCAGGTCACAAAAAAATCCGAAAAAATATATGTTATGGAGTGCATATCAGAGAATTCATTGTTGAATTTTCAGAGGGTATTTCGATATAGGGATTGAGATATTAATTATAGCGTGAAACCGCGTCGAGCTAAGGCCGACCCCGCTCAGTAGATACCCAAGTAAGCCTACAGTGAATCATACTCAGTGATTTCTCCGCATGTTATCTTTCTCAATGCTATTAATTTCATAATTCTAAAACCTCATGAAAGTATTATCGTTTAATGTTTTTGGAACTTGTACGTGATTCATAATAACTTATAACTTATGAGTAAAAATGACGGAAGAGCAATTTGAGAAGATTTGTGCACGTAAATTGGACTTGGACTGCTACTGACCGATCTGAATTAATTCGAGGAATTGAGGATACTAATTCTTTTATAACGAATTTGTGTGATGATTTGAAAGCTCTCAGACTTCATGATTTCATTGCTAAAAGCCAAAATGCTCTTCAAAATTTTTACATCAGCGTTAAATGAGCTTGAAACCAGGCAAGTGTATCATTCTTAGTGACTTTGCTGAAAATTATAGATTTTTAATTTAGGATGCTGTTCACGGCTATCACTGGGCAAAAGATCAAGTAACTATTCATACGCTAGTTATATATTACCGCGATTAGAGATGCAAAATGACCGTCATTTTTTGGTCATATGATGCAGTCTCAAAAATGACGGTCATATGGCGCGCACATTTTCTATCCAAAAATGATGGTCACAAATAAATTGTAAGCAAGTTGTTGTCAAAACATCTATATAGATGCATAATCACGATCATAACTAATTTCTAATTTGTGACGGTCATAAATAAAAAAAATAGTTTCATCTATAGAGATGAAAAATGAGCGTGATTTTGTTTCAAAATGCACATTAAGTTAGTATGAAATGAATTCAAATAAAAATTGATACAGCAAAAATGACGCTGCATCTATACAGATGAAAAATGCGTGTCATATTTTTTTGGCAAATTGTGGTGGTCATAGAGGAGGGGGAGGTGAATTGTGACAGTCGTCATAAATGCCTCGTTATGTGACCGTCATATGAAGGATCATACGACGCATTTGCGTCTCTAACCGAGATGGTACTGAGTTGAAACGCGATAGTTCTGTAGTAATTTCCGAGTCCTCTATTCACGATCCATTAGCCTGTTCATTTATTACTCAGACAAATTATCAACATTTTAAAAAGAAAAAAAAAGATATTGAGAAAATTTTCCACTTCTTTAATGGTTCCGGTTCGTTGTATAAAAATCGAAAAAATTTCATTAATGTGATTCATCATCAAGCGCACTGATAGAACGGTTTAGTCGAACCAAACGAGACTTTTTAACTATTACCACGATTTGTTAGCTATTAACGAATCGCGGTAACAGTTAAGAAGCCTCGGGTGGTGCAACTGAATCGTTCCACCTTTTCTATTAGTGCGAACTTTGGTATGGATGCTAATAGTGGACGCAATACCCCCTTCCCGTGTGCACTAAAAGGGCGGAAGAATATCATCGTTTTTTCTTATGTTGTTTGGCTTCAACAAACCGAATCTGTTGATGTTTGTTCTCTCTGACCGTGTATCTGAAAGTTATTAACAATCCAATTGTTTAAACCGAGTTCGCGGGACAGCTATGAGAGATGAAGAAAAATACTTCGAATAAAAGATCTTGCTTTCGTTGAGCNTCATCGTTTTTTCTTATGTTGTTTGGCTTCAACAAACCGAATCTGTTGATGTTTGTTCTCTCTGACCGTGTATCTGAAAGTTATTAACAATCCAATTGTTTAAACCGAGTTCGCGGGACAGCTATGAGAGATGAAGAAAAATACTTCGAATAAAAGATCTTGCTTTCGTTGAGCTAAACATATTTCATCTGATGGATTTTTTTCTTATTCAAATTATTCAGCGAAATATTGAGGGTCAAACGAATCGTTCAGTTTGGTGACGCGGGGCAGGGTGGAACGTCGCGGGGTACTGTGCCCCATGCATTTCCACGGGGAATTTGAATCCCGGATATCTCGAAAAATAATCGAGATACGAGAGAAATCGATAAAAACAAATATGTTCAGTTTTACAAAAGGAACATCTTTTGTTGGAACTATTTTCTTGTATCTCTAATAGGTTTCAAGCAAACTCGGTTTAAACAATTGAATTGTCAACAACTTTTGGATGCACAGTCTCAGATAAAAAACACTGACAAATTTGGTTTCTTCAAGGCAAACAACATGAGAAAACACAGTGATCTTCTTCCGCCCTTTTAGTGCACACGGGAAGGGGGTATTGCGTATGGACTATAAAGGACTACGTTTCTTTGCAACATCTTACGGTAAAAAAGGTGATTACCTTCTTCGGCGATTGATGATACACGCCGAAAAATTGTTTATTTGAATTAAATAAACTTTATTTGATTCTAATAGAGGGTTTATTTTAGTCAAAAAAAGTTTATTTAATTTTAATAAACCATTTTTCTGGGTATACGTTTAAGGGGGGACCCCGGTGAAATGTGAAAGTCTTCGGTGGATCTAGGGACTTATTGAGCGATTTTAGTTATATGATGGGATATGTTAAAAAGTGGGGAAAATCCCGGACCCAATCGGTTTTGCCCCGTACTTCCACGGAAAACGTTGTTTTTCATGTTTCTACTTTTAAAATATTCCTCGTTCCCCAATTTTGATCCGATTTGATTTTTTTTTCAAAATGTTCGTGAGGCTCCAAAGAACAAAGTTAAGCTTCCGTTTTACGATTCATTATATAGATTATAAGAAAATCGAAAAAACCCGAAAAAAACGAAAAACCGAAAAAAAAGGGTTTTCCCTTCTGATTGGCTTTGCATTATGCCTGAAAAGTCTTTATTTTTAATAGTTGACGATCAGAAGGAAAACCCCCTTTTTTTCATTTTTTTTCGATTTCGTCATGATCTATATAATGGATCGTAAAACGGAAGCTTAACTTTGTTCTTTGAAGTCTCACGAACATTTTGAAAAAAATAAATCAAATCGGATCAAAATTGGGGAACGAGGAACGTTTTAAAGGTAGAAGCACGAAAAACTACGTTTTCCGTGGAAGTACGGGGCAAAAGCGATTGGGTCCGGAATTTTTCCCACTTTTTAACATATCCCATCATATAAATAAAGTCGCTCCATAAGTTCCCAGATCCACCGAAGACTTTCAAATTTCACCGGGGTCCCCCTTAAGAGAGCCTCAACACGAGCAAGTATACGAAGACCGTATGATAATCATAGCAGTACTCCACAACAATTGCATATTCGCCAAAAAATCGATTGATTCCATTCAATCTTTTGTACAAATGAAGAATCTACACTGTACAAACCGGCTTTGAAAATTCTTCCCCCATCGTTAGGAATCGTCAATTTCATTGTTTTAAGGATAATCGGGCGAGCTCGGAGGGTTAGAAAAAAGCAGCCATTTTTCTCTTTTATTTTTTACATATTCTTTAAATGATGAAAAAGGCGTGTGCAAAGTTTCAGACTGCTGGGGAACATGGTTAATTTATTATGAATTTTTGAAAAAGTGGTCATTTAACCCGTGATCTTATGGAAATCACAAAAAAAAACTGCAAAACCCAAAGAAAAAAATCAGCCAAAGTCATGAAACTTTAGACACATTTAGAACATGTGATCAATGATTTGTTGAGTGAAAAAGATTGTCGCCTAGGAGAATTGTTTATTAATAATAGCGAAAAAAGTACTGAAAAATGTAATTTCTGTACGTCTCAAGTACCGATCGGGTGGGGGTAGCGCGGTCAATTTAAACATCTCTTGAGAGAGAGCGATGAAGCGTTGTGATTGGAGCTCCCTCGAACCAGTGGTACCAGCTCCTGGTGAAAAAAAAACACTACCGACGATGTTGACACTTTTTCGGATTAATATTTTTTCATTTATTAAAAAAAAACAATCTGAAAACCATTCAATGCGTGGAACAGATTAGTACATTAGAGTACAAGGGCACAAATTTCGTTTTCAACGAATGCGTAGTTTACAGGCCGAGCCGAACGCTACCGACGATGTTGACACTTTTTCGCATGGAT